CCCTGGTTATTATGACCTTGTGGTCCCCAACCATGGAGACCAATGGAACCTATGTGACCCAGTGTCCTTGTTAGGGCTTTCAAACCCTCATGCCAAGTCTTAGTTGGACCGCTCTCCATCCGTTACCTGCCTTGTGTTGTGTTTGGTCCAGGGGTACGAATGACAGCGAGCGACTCTTGCTTAAGCCCCAACGACAACACGGAGAGAGAACACAGGTTCAGACACAGTCAGCGTATATTCCTTGATAAGTTATCGATACGCAAAACATATAGACTAATCGTGCATTCGAGAACGGCGCAGTGACACACCAATCAGATTGTGTCCTTGACATGTCGATTGATCGATTGGACAAAACATTGGCTGAGACGTTCTGTGATCATCCAATCAGGTTCAGCCTGTCTGGAGCGTTGGGAGCGTGCGTGTGGCCTGACTCGGAGGAGTGCGTGGGACCTGACTCGGAGGCGTGCGGGATCGGACCGGTTGCTTAGGCTCCGTCCTAACACCTTGGCCATCACGAGACTGCACCATCACGTGGTGCGATGGCTTGTGTGCGAGATATAAAGGATAGTTGCTCAGCCGTAGATCTGATCATGCCTGAAAAGCCAATGGGTAGAGGCCAGACAAAGTTCAGTCTGACAAGACCAGCTGCTCGGGCACCTTCTGGCTTCCTTTGTCCATCCACTCTCATTCCTGGAGAGGCCACTGCAACAAATAAACACAGTGAGAGGCAGTTTTTCGGTCAAAACCCAGGTAGATGGACATAGGAGCTGAGTATCTGGGGCTTCCTCTCGACAACGGAAGAAGTCATCGCACTTCATTGGATACCTACCGCCCGCCCAAGCTGGGCAGCTTCCAGCCGATAAGGCAATATCCCATCCCCGTTTCGCGTACCTCATTGAGCAAATGGGACTAGCGGTCAACCCCAAATATCGGACGGACAATCAATGAACGACAGAACAATATACCGAGCCGAAAACTGAAGACTTTGCGTGACAGGTATCTAGAAGCTCTCACACGGGTGCTTCGGTCAGGCTCCCGTGTTGGATCTACACCCCACTACCTTGTGGGTCAGACTTTTGAGTCAAAGGATCCGGTTAGGGTTCCCAAAGAAAAACCCGTTGGTCGATGTAGGCTAGCGCGAAGTACGTTGTGCCCCAAAGTCTTAGGTGCCCGTTTAGAAAACCCTCTTTCTCATCTGTCCAGTTCCTCCTGCAACCACGCCTAAAAACTGTCCAATTCGGTTTGAACAATTCATGTTTTCTTTTTTAATCATTTATAGAGGCAGTTGTGACAATCGGGGTAAAGACAGGATGAAATATTCCTTCATGAGATTCGTGTCTGGACTGCATACAACCATTCGCTATAATCCTCTTTGCTGTAGCAACTCTAAGAGCTTATAGGAATTCTGTCGGATGCATTGTACTGCGCTGCAGGCTAACAAGGACGACGCCAGATGTATGTACAACGACGCAGGTATCCTAATAATACTACAAATAAACCGTCGGTAAAAATAGAGTGAATGCTCCATTTATACGACATAAATCTATCTTCAAAGTTGTTCATTTGGTGGAACGAAAGTATTCAAGACACCAAACTTGTAAGCACAACTCAGATCAGGCCTGACTGAACCCAGCACAAGCTTCAGACATCAATTGTTTATGTATTGAATAAGGACAGTAAGGAGCATAGTGAATGCTATAGTCATCGAATTAGTCCATCTACATGTTTTCACCAAAATAATCCACTTTTTCGAAGACTTAGGCATTTCAACGCTAAGCAAAAAATCATCTCGCTTTTTGTTTATCAATGTGTTTTTCCCGTTCTTATTTATTGTTCCCTGGTGGTTTTTGCTCGTCTACTAAAAAAAAGACTTCAGAATTATTTGTCGAGGTTTTTCGATCATCAGTCGTGCGTCTTTTATACCCGTTGATGAGCAATCCAAAAAACTGTGTGAACTTCACTTTTCCGCATGTGAAACATTTGCACAGGAAATACTCTCTGACCGCAATCATCCTTTACACGGCGATCTATCCAAATGCTGCTCATATTCATCTACGCGTTCCACATATCGATTAATAATCTCGCATTAACCACTACAGAAATTCCCCAGTTCCCTATCTCGCCAGAGTCCTTGTAAACCGACATATCGTTTCTTCTGAATTTCTCAACAACCTTGGAGGTTAGATGTTTTACTCAGTATTTTCCTTCTTTTGATGAGATGTGTCATTTTTGACTGCAATGCGGACATCTGCTCACGCAGAAGTCTGTACAAATACAAGTAAATCAACTCTCAAGAACGCGTTCTTTCAAAGCTGTCCAACGGGCGTACGATCCGATAAATTGGACACAGGTCACCAAACGGACTGCAGCTTCCACATACCGGTCCACTGCCTTGAGGGTCATGCTTTGAAGAGGCCGAAGGCCTCGTTTGCGAATCCCCTCTTCCTGATTTCGTCTATGCAACCGGATAACATTCCACTCCGAAGCAATTCAGGATTCATTTTCTGTCATAAAAGCTATCGTACTGTAATTTGCTTTACACACACACACCGATTAGACACAATAGTGTGAAGTAGGAAACACAGACGGAGAGCTGACGCGGAAAAACGAACATATGATGAATCGAGACACGAAACGCACCTGATGAAATCTGCCGGGACGGGAGTTGTGGCAAATGTGGTGGTCGGTTTACGATGCACTTCGGCAAAAAGGGCTAGAATTTCCGGATACCGGTTGATAATCTCCGCCCGGGACACCGTGTCCAACTCGGTCTGGACGCCTTGCAACAAGGCTTCGAGTAGTTCAATTTCCTGTGTGAAATCAAGACATCAAGAGGGAAATAGGAGAGAAAAAGTTTTTGATCAAAAAATATAATTTCCATTACCTATTGAAATTCTGGGCGGCGACAAAAATCCAAACATTTTATTTCCGAGAAATCAACAGCAAATTTAGTCTGTCAGGCACCAGATTGAGAAACATTGCCGAAGTGCAGTCGACAACATGTTCACGCATTCGATGTAGCTATGTCAATACTGTGCTAGTACAGGATAAAAGCGAACGGCTAACAAACCGTCGCGGGATTGTGAAGCTTACTTTTGGCGTTGTGCACCATATACGTGGCGCTGTTTGTCCCTGTTTGTGTATATGTTGAGTGTTGAAACTCATACATCAAAATGCAATTCGTTTCAAACACGGGTTTCCCTCATCAGTGATCATAGTGGCCACTGTGTGTAAAACATCCCGAATTTTGTGGAAGCGCTTATTTCACGTCTATTTCAAATTTGTTTTAAGCCAGAGGAATGATCTTCTCAACCATTTACTACTGCAGAAACAAACATTGCAACGAGAAAACAACAAAAGAGAATCCTCTCCCGTCGTTAGCTATCAATACAGACTATAAAATTGCTGAGGAGCGGCGGCGGCGGCGGCGGCGGCGGGGGGGAAGACAGGAGAAATCAATAGTAGATGAGAATCGCTTAGTCTAACCCGTGCACTACACAAACTGGATGGGGAAAAAACCATTGTTCAACGGACGCACTCGGCAGTTTCTATTGCCGTGAAAACAGTAAGCACTGTGATGAAATGGGCTTCAAAAAACGTACAATTTAATGTGTTTGATTTGTGTTGTTTGATATCCTGATGGAAAAGTTTGAGTATACCCGTAGAATAACTCCCCTTCCCACACACACACACCCCTCCGAGATGATGACTGGGAGCGTACGATGTTCAAGCGATGAAGAAAAACAAACGCAAACGCTTCACCGTGAATCTCTGACAAGAGCCGCCGTGTAAGAGGTAGTAAAAGAAACCGCGGTTTAATGCAATTTTGTAAAGGTTATGCAAAACTTCAATGAGGGTTGTGCGTTGTTTAGCTAAGCTCGTAATTTGCAGAGTACCGAATCAAACAGTAGTTCATCCGGTGTGTTCCGGGGTTTAATCAATGACGCACCCACCTATGTCATTCGCTGTACAAGATAGAAACCAATGGAATACCCTTGAGTATGAAATCTGCTCTTGCGAATCTGTTTCGGGAACAGGAGCACGTTTCACAACACATACGTGCTGGTTACTCTGTGAACGATACACAACACAACTTAGGTGGACCATATTTGAGAAGCGACTCAGATGGATACAATATTCAGAAATCTGTTCACATTACCTGAAACAGTTCACTGCGTTGACCCATCAGTGTGACCAGTTTTGATTTAAGTTGTGAATCGAGACGCGTAATCATTAGTTCGATCGCGTTGCGTAACTCTCGAACCCGTTCCTCTTTGGCCTGTTTCACAATTTGCACATTCTTCTCCTGCGAGTGAAACGAATGACGATGGGGCACAAGAGTCCGAGTGGGATGATGAATGCGGAGCGGAAGAGGTATGAATGATTGAACAAAGAACAGTCGACGTCTCATCAATAAAAATTTCGTAACAATCATTTGTTAGTCACCTACTGGTGTTGCTATTTTCCAATGACTTGTTAGAAAGTTATGTTACCAAAAATTCGGACCCATTAGGTTGTCAGGCATCCTGAGTTGGGGACCACGAGGCTAATCAATGTTCAGGGCGACTGGATGACGTAGCTTACGTATTTACTCGTCTTCAGTCCTAACAGAGTTAATCCGCATTTTGTATAATTATCTTGCTCATGGTCCCAGTGTCCTACGCCTCTGCTCATTCTCCAATCAAAATGAGCAGCCCAACTCGACGCATAATATGCAAAGATACACAAACTGTAAGTGAAATTTTAAAAAGAGAAGAAAATTTGGCCGCACACATTATATGCACCCAATTTGGAACGAAGCAAGGAACATGCTAGACCGAGCTCTCATCTTGCATCGTGAGGCATCCTGTGGCCGTCCGTTTGAACTAAATGATAGGTGGATGGGTTCACGAACAATAAAATTATGTAGTTAATTTTATAGATACTCCCGTGTATCAGATGCTCTAAAAGCACTTGCCTCGTGCTACAAATAGTGATTCGATTAGACTGTCGACCACTATTTTTCGCTACGGATTTCGCAAGTTATGGTGATCGAGTTCTAGTGGTATTTCTTATTGCTTCTTCAGAATATCACACTTCTCGGTTAGAGTTTTTACAACTCTTTGAGGCCGTGGTGATCAAGTGTTTAGGTCACCAAATTGTGACCAGGTAGTTTCGGGTGTGAACTGTTCCACCGCCGCCCATCTTCACAGTTTCTGTATTTTCCCAGGCAGCCTTAGTATGGCTGCGGACCCCTTCCTGAATCTTGATTGTACATTTGTATGTATATTCAATAAATAAAAAAAGTAAAAGACATTATTTATTATTATTATTATACAACTGTGCGCGGCAGTTTTGGTTGCTCGCCACCCTCTAAGATGAAGAAAGACTGGAACGCTGAATGTAGTGTCAGGGTGAAAATAGAGAATTCACAAAGAGTAAAGTAGCAAGGATGGTGAGTATATACGCGAGGGACACATTACGACCCTCAGTCATGTCACTCAGGCATTCATTGAGAAATCAAAGTTCGGTAGATTCAATCAGTTGTTTTTAAATAATGCATCAGCCAGTCAGTACAATAATTTGGGAATAATTTGTGATGTTTCCCCTGAAGTCTAGTTGATCGAAGAGGCTATAGTATTGTATTGGTATATGACTATTGCGTCAAATGAGTCAGCAGTGTACCCCAAAGAAATGTATTGCGAGGTTGGTCCACGGTCATGCTAAAACCCGAACCATTTGTATTACTGAGGAAGGGAAGTGTTTGGATTATGGTGACACCGGGTCTGCATAACGATCACGTGTGACAACTGATGCGAAAAGCTTGATAAACATTTACTGGTTGGCTTGCGATTCACTGGGTCAAAACTAGACAATACACAATGGTTGATCAAACAATGGGAGAAGAGAAAACAAGGTGGTTATTATGAAGATTTTGAGACAGAGCTGAGAAGTTATAATCGTATTAGAACAGTCTGAGATCGATGAACGAACGCCAATCGCAACAAAGAAAACGGTAAGTTTATAAGCAATGGAATTTTTTTCTGATGACCGACAAAGAACGCTGGACAGCTATTGCGTCCTGTTCGGAACTCGCCAGCAGTGGGTGCATTTTGTGTCCCTGTCAAGACTCGAACCGCAAACATTCGGATCAGGAATTCAAACCCTTAACCTTGAGCGACACGGTAGAATGGTTTAAGCAATTAAGAGTAATGAATTTGGAATAATCCATTCGATTGTCGACAGGACCAGGACCATCAACAGTGCCTGTGAACAATTGAATGGATTATTCCGAATTTACTGCTCTTAAAACCGTAAGGTCCTGATAAAACGGTGCATTCTACATTATCCAATCATCGATTGATCGACTCTTGGCAGATCGGATGTGCACATACCACACAGAAACTGATTTGTAGTTCTACATTAGCGAATGGCCTAAACCGGAAGTCATCGAGACCAGTTTGGATCCAATCTTAGGTGATTCGGAAGTACCCCCACATAGTTCCGACCCACAGTGGTCAACAGTTTGCCCCTGAGCACTAACATCATCATCATCATCACTAGAAGGTAACTAGAATTATCCACGGCCATTCTGCGCATAAAATACGGAGGAATGATGCACCTTTAAACAGCGTAAGAATAAAACGAAGAGCTCACACATGGTATACAACATACCTTGCACACACGCACACATCTTTTAAACTGGTATACACTGGGGAGAAAATCGATCTCTACAAGTAGTAGAAACTGTATGCAGTGCAATGCAGTGTACAATTGGTTAGGTTGAGAGCCTTTCGGATCACTATTTCGCGATGTTTGTTGACACGAGGAAGTGTCCTATTCAGCACGTTACTATGGCAATGAGGCCATTGGAAGGATAAAAGATTTGCAGTTGTCCGAATCAGTTTCCTGCATTCTGATATGTGTCAATCGGTTCATGACCAAGCCGAATATATTGGAAACTGTCCCGTGATAAATAACAAGCTAATGCCTTTTACGATAACCTAGGGTGATGTTTGATCTCACCATGGTTGTTTAGAGATATGTTCCATATTCCATTTCCGTAGTTCGATTGCGTCTGATGAGAGGGAACCATTTTACTCGACACTATGATCCTTTGAAAGACTCGATATTTGCACGTACGTGTCTGTGTCAATTAGGTTCAGCCAATGTTCCGCCTCCGTTTCCCAATGAGCACATACCTCGGTCCTCTAGGTCGTCTATACTGTATACAATGAGTCAATTTGGGCGTGACCTTTCCTCATTCCAGGCCTTATAGAATAAAAAGGGTCGCGGATCATACGTGCGTGTCGCGATTTTAAACTACGCCCTTTTCTGGACCCAACAACAATGGGCACCCCAACTGTTCCGGTACGTAGTGATGGCAACGGTATGAATCGTCGCCACCAAGGTCATCGATGCGCTGACGCATCAAAATGCTACAGTACAGTCGACTGGATCAATTGGACAACACACATAGGTTGCTAGGCTACGACTGGAATTTGAAATGGGTGCAGTTATTCACCTATCCAATCGTCACTTCGCGTGTTCCGACGTCTTTTTGCTGATTGAGCGCATCAGGGAATAAAAATTGAATGTTTTCATCATGAAGAGATAGCGATTCGAAAACAGTGACTATGAATCTAGGGGGAAAACCATTCGTCAGAAGGATATTGAGAACTACACATGTGATAGTGAGTTTTACCAGGAATAATAAACATGCCTAAGTTGAGCACTAAACAACAAAATTAATAATATTGGTTTGAATCCGCCACAAAAATTGAATCCGAAATCGGATATTCGTTACTCCGGACAAGCATCTGCATGACAGTAAACACCTCGACCTTTCTCCAAGTGTCAAAATCAAAGGTTAGTTCATTCCCGAGATCATACGTATCGAAATATTCTGCACAAATCACACGGCAACATCTACGTATTGTAAAATATCTATCATGAATTTGAACAAACAAGTGAAATGTACTGATTTACTGTATACGTACAATAACATTATGCAGTAAAATGTTGCTTTCTACAGTTACCTCATTTATTTCTGAACAGAAGGGTGGGTTTTGGATAATCATTATTCAGATGTCAATTCCACACGCAATCATCGGCTCATCGTTTTAGTCAAATAAAAAAGACTGAAAACGATGATTGAGCGAACGGAAGCTCTGGTCAATCGCAATGTTAGCTGGTTATCTCAGGGCTAGCACACACTTCGGTTCGGATTTTAAATCTCCCATTCTGTCTGAGAAATATATCCTAATGATAAGCATTAACTCGAGCGAAACCCCAGTGTGGAATGGGTACGTTGCACGTAAAGATGAAGTCTAAAGGAAGGTTATTCAACAGTGATTTACGTTCGCAACGGTAGAGAAGATCCAAGTGAGCCAAGGACCAAATCGCATGAATTCACAGTCACAAAACAAAATGGTATGGGAAAGGATACCTATTGGGCAAGAGGTGGAATAAACAGCCATTCTCGTTCTTTTTACCGTTCAAAGTGGAAATAATAAATCAGTACACACCTGAATAAGTCGGTACTGGGGTTGGCGTGAAAAATGCTAAACGGCCTTTTTTATACGTAAACATTTTAGTGAGATAAACGACAGAGTAAATAAGTCACAGAAGCCTACCATTCGGATAGCTTGAGTGCCAGAGTAGCCATGTTCGGTATGCGTTTTGCACCTTCAAAGTGTAAAATGTTGATTTCAAGATTGTTTGGTCCAACCCCAAGCTCACCCTGACTGTGGAAGTAATAGAGCAAGTAGATAAGTTTTGCTATCTATCTACGCAGTATTGCACGAATCTGATGGCGCAGCGGGACGAGCAATTCTGAGGTCAGGCGCAGGGTTTTAGGTAACCACAATCACCCACTGGAGCAAGTGGTCGACGTCCATAGATTACGTTGGTTAAGGCGTGTTACACATGTCACCAAATAGATTGCCACGGTGAGCGATGTTCACTGCTGTAGTTACAGGGTGGAAAAAAGCCAAGGGTGGTCAAACTAAGACCTGACATGAGGGTATGAAAACCCTGACCAGTGGACTGTGTCACATAGGTCCCGTTAGGCTCCCTGGATGGGGACCGCGAGATGATCGTAACCGATGGTTAGAGACACTGTGTGATATGGTTGAATGTCGTAAACAGTAGCGTTCATGCATCTTCTCAGTTTGTTTGCAGTCACAGTTTACTGGAGTTCCCAATTTTCTCCTCGACTCTGCTCTCAACTCTCCTGTCTTTCTCCCACTGCTTCATCCAAATGAGCATCCAAAAGACAGCAACCAAATCCGGCGCACGAAAGTGCATGGTTAATGGTTGTACAAA